GCTGGCGTGCGCTTGCGGGCGCTGGCAGCGTGCACAGGGGTCCGGCAGACAGGTAGGGTTTCACATAGGACAGACCGTTTTCAAAATTTACTCGTCCGATTTAAATAAAATTTTAACACATAAAAATAGACACAGAATGGCACATATTTACATGGTTTTCAGATCTAACACTTCAGTTTAACACAATCAAATAATTTTTACAAAAAGACGATTGAAATCTGAATTTTCTAGTTCACCGAGCAATCCTTTGAATTTTTCAACGAAATTTGGACACAACATACATTTCAGCAAATCAATGACTCTCGCCAAAATTCACAGAAAATACCAAGTACTCGATTTTTAATGATTTTTCCAAGTTTCTGGTCAGATCTTCAAATCAACAATTAACATAGCTACAGATCTTATTTTAACTTGAAATTTTTACACGACTTATAACATCATCAGAGGGTTATACAGTTAAAATTTTGCAGCAATCGGACAAGTATAAAAATTTAAATGATTTTTTCGAAGATCCAGCAACACAATACGATTCAAAAATGCACATTAATTAAATTAGCCAATAATTTCATCTAAGGCCTTCATCATAAGGCCAAAGACTTCAAGTGTTCCTTAGATCCACAGCAATTTACACGATTTATCACAAAATCACATCAAATGACATAAATCACTAATATACGAAAGAAATCGATCATTTAACAAGTTATAACATGAGATCTCCCAACAAGGTATCATCTCAAGGCATATATATATTAAAATAATATGGAGTAACAGTCTTGTACCGTTCTCGGGATAAATCGCACGAGAGGGAGGTAAACGGGCCGAGGGAGATCACGGTCGTGCGGGGAAGCGGGCCTGCGAGGGCATTGGCGGCTTCGCGGGCGCTGGGGGTGTCTCGGGCGCGACTGCTGGGTCTCGGTGGCGTCGGGGGGATGTGAACTGAGGCCTGGGGAGGTGCTCCTACGGCCTGGACGCGCGACGATGGGCCTGACGAGGCACGACAGCCGGGTGGTGGCGAAGGGCTGGGCGCGGCCGATTAAAAAAAATAACGAGAGAGGGGGAGAGGGCGAGAGAGAGATCGGGAGATTGAGGGAGAGAGATGGGAGTGGCAGCTGAAAAATGAGGGTGAGGGGAGGGATGATCATCTTCCTTATATAGGGCTAGGGC